TATAATATTTTTTCATATATTTCGTTATAAAAATAAATGCACAATAATTAATAATTTACTACGTCTATAAATCACATAAAATAGAATCTTGTAATATACAAAGAGTATGTGCGTATGTATTTTATTTTGTAAAACTTTTTTTTTATGTATAGTTAAAATTTTTACTTACCATCATCTGATTTAGTTGGGGCAGTTTGCTGCGCTTCTCTTAACAGTTTCTTAATTAACTGCAGATTGTCTCGAAAAAATACGTCATGCCACACCATATTTCAGGATAAGCGTATTTAAAAACTATTTGCTTTATTTCTGCTAAAAAAAATAAATGTTTATCATCCGGGATCTTATTTACGTGTTCTATAAGTGTTTCAAAGAACTTCAAAAGATTAGAGCAAGCGTTTTGATTGCTCTTGGTCTGAATCTTCTCGCTCCTGTCCAAGTTTTCTTCCAAAAGAGCAAGTTTCTTATTTTCTAAGTGTAAATACTGTTCTGCGGTATGTTTATACTTAGGAAACATGTCTGATTCGTCTTCGTTTGAATCTCTAAAAATGGAACTGTGATCGTCTTTAAATAAGCTTGCTAAATTTTCAGAACTTTCAATGGATAAAGCTGGGTCGTCAAGAAACATCATAGACTGAAAGTGTGGCCAGCGCGCTGCAGCGAGATTAATAGCTGTTTTCTAGCCCATCACCAGATCGAGAATGTTTAACCAAAGACTTTTCTTTGTTAAACCTAGCTTGTAGGCTCTTCCACTTATTTCGAAGTTTATCTTCTGTAAGAAGAGTAATTGTGTTACTTAATTGTTGGACTGATTGTTACTAACAAAAATGAAAGGAAAGAATATTTATTCCAAGTACAACAGATAGAAGACTGTGTATTAAAGTTTAATTTGAGACAAGCATTTCTAGGTGATGTTTTTTTTTTATTTTTTAAATAAACTCTTTAGAGAGCTATGCCAACATTCAAACTTTTACTTAAGGTAGTCTATCACTTACCACTTTTTAACTTCAATTTCCTTGAAAAAATGTATGTTATAGATTAAATTTTTCTTTTTGAGATTAAATTATAAAAAAATATTCCTACTACATTGGTTTTAAGGTAATAAAGTTGTATGTTTAAAATTTTAGCACAGGTTACAATGGGACTTTCCAAATACAGGCAAAAAGAGCTACTTAAGTTACTAGGAAAATTCTGAGAAATATACCATTTAAAATTTCGCAATTCGTACTATTTTATACAGTTTAAAACTGTTAGGTTCCCAATATAAACACAAAGTAGTGAATCATTTAATAATTGTCATGTAACTTGTCTGCTGCATACGTGAATGTCTCAAATATTAGGCAACAGAGCAGCCATATACAAATGTGTGTGTACAGAAAATGTATAAAAAGGTTATATTCAACAGATGCTAAACTTACTATGAGAATCCCATCATACAGTAAAGTTGTTACAAAAAAATAAAAAACATGATAATAATTGACTTAGACATTTCATTTTCAGCAAGCCGTTGAATCATATCTGGAGAAAAAACTGTTTGCAATAATTGCAAGTCTAATGAATGTGAAGATATCAGTGCTTTTTTTCTGAAGATGCAAAAACGAGCCCATCGTCATGGCACTAGTCACGAACTCTTAATTGAGATTCAATGCTTCGCAGATTTTTTTCAAAGCAATGCAATCATTCAAAGCCTCATGAGCATCTTTATCTGAATAATCTACGACATTTTTTGAGCCAAAGTTGATTGTTTTAATGACGTTTCTAGCTTCGAAACAGCAGGAAGTTGTTTACATATTTGAAAAAATACCTACAAAGCCGCAAACAGTATTGCAAAATTCTTGAAGTTAATAAAATTTACATACATCTTTGTACATTCGAGGAAAGTCAAATTTGAAAGAATTGCGTCTAACTAACTCAACTGGTTTTTTAGAACTCTTGCAAATATTGTAGAAAATTTTGAAGCAATACTTTCAGGTTTGTTGCTGCAACTGGCTGATTTTTTAGTAACAATTGACCACCTTTTACACTCAAACCAATAACCTCATAAGCTTTTAGAGGGATTGAATTGAGAGCATATGCATACTTAGAAAAATTATGCAAGCTGGTGCCAGCACATTTTGCTGCAATTTGCAGAGTCTCAGCGTCAGCGTGGAAACCTGTGTTTTTAATATCTACATAAATTGCAGTAGAATCATGTAGAATCTTCTTAATAGTTTTTACTTGCAGTTGAGATGCAACTTGTGGAGGCTGCAAAAAGGCAATATTGGACGTATAGAATAACCCTTCTTTTTTATTTTGGCCCAACCATTTCAGATTTTTTTTTTTATTTGTAGTCCATGTTCCTTGTACGAAATGTTTTTTGTTACGTTGAACGACAAGCTCTGAAATAATCTCTCCTTTTTCGAAATTTTTCGGCAGCATCCCTTGCAACAGAACCTAGTTTGTCAAAAGATTTTGTCAAGTACTGGGATCCTAGATTTGTTTGGGCAGCAGCAGCACAAGCTCTGTAGTGGTAACAATTCGTCCCTCCATAAAATCGGTTCTTTGTTGATTTACTAGTTACAATGTGGTTGAAACATTCATTGACTTGCGAAGAACCTCCCGATGTTAAACTTATTGCATTTTCTACGAATCGCTCAAATATCGCCTCTAAGTCTTTTCTAAGATTGTTGCCTACCAAATCTCTACCACCAGGCAGCCCATAATGTTTGTAACTTTCAGGACTTTCTCGGTATAAACACCAGATTTCACATTATTCATGAGATCCAAATGCATGGCTCACAAATTTCTTATTACACCAGCAGTGGCACCATCGTTATCTGTATTTTGAGACAAAGCGTAGCTGAAGCATTTTTTTAAATATTCTATGACACTATTATCAAACTTGTGCTTTGGCTTCAACTGGAATAGAAAGTTGTTCAAACTTTTTACTGTATGGTTCTTGCCTAACCATTTGGTTACATCATGATTTGTGTTTGCTTGAACCTAGGAGATACTTGAAGTATCACCATTGCCTATGAAAACATCTACCTGCACATTAGCTTTGGCAAGATTTTTTTTGTGATAAGATAGTAAATCCACAGCAACTGCACATTCCATACTTTTAGCAGTTCCATTGTATACTCCCTGGCAGTTACGGGACTCTGGACTATGACCTTTCTCACACATAAAACATTTCCTCATTTCACTCGAAAATTCTATTAATTTCTTACTAATATAACCGAACAGGGAAGTATGACCGGTATAGCAATCGTAGGTTTTACCTGTACCTCGTGTACGATATCCCATGTTATACTTAGGAAACATGTCTGATTCGTCTTCGTTTGAATCTCTAAAAATGGAACTGTGATCGTCTTTAAATAAGCTTGCTAAATTTTCAGAACTTTCAATGGATAAAGCTGGGTCGTCAAGAAACATCATAGACTGAAAGTTTTTCCAAAACATCTACAAATGTAATAATTTGAATGAGTGTATTTGAATATTTTTAATAAAATATCTCATGTCATTAAACAATAAATTAATTTTATCTGATTACACTAGAATACATTCATTTGTGATTGTACAAAAGTTTTAATTTTTCGAAGAATCACAAAAAGTGATACATTTCAGACAAAAAAGGTTATATGCCACACGATAAATGTTAGAGAAAAGTAAAGAGACAAAGTGTGTTTGTATGTTGCCATCATGAAACTTATGTACATAGGTTATGTAACCTTATTGATAACGTGTGGCGGTAACATACATACAAAATGAGTTAATTTTTTTTAACGCGCAAAAAAGTTTACATTTGACTGATTGATTTTAATGAACTCTTTGATCTTGAGGTTTTGATAGCTCACGTGCTGAAAGAATCAAGTTATCTTGGGTGTACATCCGCATTGTTTATTACCCCGAGTATGTACTCGCCGGAGCTCAATTGGAAAAAGTTTTAGCAGATGTGAATTCATTTACACTACTGAATAATTTTTGCGGCCCTCATTCACTTACTTACTACAATCATGAAGCTCACAGCGCACATAGCATTTATTTGTCGAACATGAACTTACCTTTACCAGAAGAACTTGGTGATACTATAGCCATATTTGCATCATGAGAAACAATTTTTTTACTGTCAAAATTATCGTAAACGCGAGATTCATTAGTATCCTCAGCTGTTTCACAATGTACTGATAATGCATCTGAGTTCTCAGTAGTATTAGAAGTGTTTTCATAATTATTTCCATCTATTTGGGCTGAAGATAAGGCCGTACACAAGAAATCAGTCATTTTTCGTACTTTTGCTTGATACTTCGGTTTTTAATCTTTTAATTTTCTTTTAGCTACTCCACTTAAGTAATGTCTTTCACTCATTTTATTTAACACGCTAGTATGTCGAATTAAGAAAAAAAAGCACAACGTTTAATTATCTTATGACAGAATTTTATCACTGTTTTGTTTACTAGGTGTCTGCTAAATTAGTATTGCTTATGCCAAGTGTATTTTCGCTACTCAGCCAATGCCCTCGTGGCGCCGCCACTGCACTGTTACCACGCCGTTGTACATGATGCGGCTGGCGTTGATAACAAGCACCCATACGCACTGATCACTAAACCGACTGATATTTGTTTTTTTTTTTAACATTCTCATATCTTTACTTGGTGCGTATCAAAAGGGTAGCTTGTATACAACTTATCACAATTGTACTATTTAAAGAAATTTTCTCACTTTTAAGTTACTATTTGCAATTTTCTTTAATTTGCTGTTAAATTATAAAAGTTAAATAGACTTAATCATAGTTCACAGTATCAGTAAAATAAACAAGTTAAAATGCAACTTGAAAATTAAAAAAATACATTAATAATTTCGTATAGTTATTGTAATGTAATTATTTTTTTGTANCAATTTATTGTTAGTATGGATTTTGCTGAAAATTATGCTTTCGTGATTCAAAATTCCACGCAATCATTTCATTGGAATAACAATCAGGCAACTGTGTTCACAGTTGTTATTTATTATAAGAGTAATAGTGATCTTTTACACAAAAGTATGGCTATAATTTCTGACAATCTATGCCATGACTCGATTGCAGTCTATGAGTACCAAAAAATTGTTTTAGATTTTCTTAAAAAAAACTTTGAAGTGAAAAAAATTTATTACATAACAGATGGTGCCTCCCAACATTTCAAAAATAAGACCACTTTTCAAAATCTTCTCTTCCACAAAAGAGATTTTAACGTTGAAGCTAAATGGCATTTTTTCCCCACTGCGCACGGAAAGAGTGGGTGTGACGGTATTGGTGCTAATTTAAAAAGGGGCGCGAGAAAAGCTAGCTTACAAAACACTTTTCGAAATAGAATTTTAACAGCTGAAGACCTTTACAAATGGGCAAAAGGCAAAAGCAAAGAAACCGAGGTATTCTTCAGTGATGATGAATCTTACAAGGAAGCTGCTTTGAAATTGAAAAAAAGGGTTGATAAGGCTTAAATGATACCAGGAACTCTTCGATATCTGAACATTAATATTTTTTTTGTCGTCTTGGGGCCACCTACTTCCGTGGGGCCCAGGGCTGTAGCCCACCCTAGCCCCCCCCCCCTTAATCTGGGCCTGAATGTTATAGTCGATAGAAGAGAGGCAACAGTTAAAGTTGAAGCT